CCACAATTGACCACGAACTAACATACCAGCGATGGTCGTGCATCTTATGCAGTGGGCGTGGTTTAAACTGAAGTGGCGTCACACTTACGAACCGGATACTCCATGTACTGTGTGGACTCCGCGGGCGCGCGCGATGAAGTTCAACACAGAGAGCCTCGGTTTGGATGCAGATATGCGCAGACGGCACTAATGTGAAATCCCTCTATAAAGCTTTAAAAAAAAGGTGAATTGAAGTACGAAGTTGCTTTTACAAGGGCTGTAGTAAAAATTCACTGCATTGACCCTTTAATATGACACAAGAAGCTTACGATTGTCATTGAGAGCAGAAGGAAGAGCAGTAGGATGATGTGTCTGCCCAGCTGGTGAGAGGCTACAATGTCATCGGGGTCAAGGTCTGTGTCTTCCATGGCTTTGACCATCAGCCGTTGGTGCAGCTGCGTGCGGCGACGGCACAACTCCCGCTGTGACTCGCTGCAGTTGGTGGAGAGCGAGCATGTCTGGTAGGTGGTGCGTACGTCCTCGATGTCCGAAGGGAGGTTGTGATTGGACTCTGTCAAAATGGAGAGGGCATTTTCAGGTCCAAGGCAAAAAAAATGAGTAGGAGGGGAATCTGAGCTCATGCCACTTATCAAAGGATGATGCCAATTGGGATGCAGTGCTGTAGATGTGACCCCACAGTTGAAGCAAAGGTTGGAAAGTCTTTTCAGACAAGTAAGTAAGCTTCCAAAAATAAACTCTCTGTCCGAATGCAGAGATACATGTAGCATGATTTTAGCTGTCAGTTGCTAAATGGGGAATATTTATAAATGTGGTTGTAGTCCTGAGCAACCAACAAGAATAAAATTTACCAGCACTGAAGGGGTTTTCCTTCCACAAAAAGCCAACAATCTTTGGCTGTGCTCTACCGTCAAATATGGGTTGTCTGGCAGCTGTGCCTTTACATGCCTTCAGCCTGACCACGCTGTAGATGCATCCTTCGTAATTCAGCCAATTACTTCCAATGGCAAAGATGATAAGCCCCCAAAAATATTTTTAAAGGCTTTTGGCCCAATCCGTTGGCTACCTAGCACTACAATCACAGATCCCCTACCTTGCGCGGAACCTTTTAACATGCGATCTGTTTCACTGTCCCCATCAGAGCTACCAGTGTTCTCGGTGCTGGATTCAACTCTGACATTGTAAAGGTGTCGATATCGGTCCTTTCTGTGTAGGACTATGAGAGCAGTGACAGCTATGATGAAGTTGATACCAAGTACGACCACTGACGCTACAAGCTGAATAGAGACAAAACAAAGGTTCCTGTCATCTTATGCGAATGACGATTTTTACATAATGTCTGTTTTATGAGTAACTGACAGAATGACATTCAAGTAAAATTATACATTCCAATGCACAAATGAAACATTCATTAATTGAATACAACACTTGGATAAGTCCTTATCTGAGCAAATCCCTACATCACCGGAAATTTCTTGTGACTGTGATATGGATCTTATTTTTACGGTGTAGCTGAAATAAACTATGCGCCTCTCTCATATGACACGACTTCCAACAGGTTACCAAGTGGATTGACACTTTTCATTTAAATTTAGCGACACGCAGTGTGCTGTGCCATATTTCAAAGATGTCCGGTCTAGAACAGGCGCTATTTGAGAACATATTGTACACTGCATACACATACATCGGTTGGCACTGGATTTTACCCAGTAGATATTTTCCCACAAAGATGGCATCTAAGGAGAGAGATTTATACTTTGGGAATGACAAATTCAATGACGTGATCAATGACAATGCATGATATGAGAGGGATTTTTTGAGGTACTGTATACCTCTAAGGAAACCTAACAGTCAAAAATGAAAAACGTGATCCCTTTCATACCTGAGGGATGCACTTTGCAGTTACTTGCCAGTAAAATGTGTAAAAATCAATGCAAAATGTGAGAGAGAATATGTAGTATGGGTTAATAATACTGAAGGGTGCAATGCCATATGATGAGAACTCAAAATGTGGAGGAAATCAGCTAATCTAAGACAAGGTTGCATGCCTGAAACAGTAAACAGTCCCCCGGCTGGATTTGTCCCAGGACTGCAGTACTGACAAAATTAAAAAGTTTCTAGCCAAAGAAGTTCATTTACCTGCAAATTTCCATACTGGAAGACACCATTTTCACCAGTGATAACGTACATTGGGGGAGCTACCACGATGATCAAGGCTACCAGCAGAGCTGGTACCCTGGCAAACAATGTAAAGAGAGAAATGCATCAATGATGTGAATGATATGCAAGTGTAGGACACATGGCCAACAAAAACGCAGCTGAAACTAATTTAACCCCTTCATACCGGGAGCCATCGGGAGCCGTCCACAGCCGCGGCTTTGTGTGAGGATAAGTGCATACCACACATACAGTCTATTCATCATGCAGCTGCTGGTTCAATGGGGCCTGCTGATGGACAAAGCCCTCCATTCAGGGCATACCACAGCCCAGCAGTCGCGTCAAAAGAATCACGGCGTGAAGGGGTTAACAAAAAGTACACGTATCTGGAGCTTTTTACAATCATCATCACTCTCAACGATGATCAAACCAAAAATCTAACACAAGCCTGACTAACACTTTGGGAGAAGTCATCAACCAAAGAGAAAGACTTCCAACTAAACTGACGGTGACTATCATAGCTTCACCAATGAGAGAATCAGTCTAGTATTAAATTGAACAGCCCCAAGCAAATGACAAGATGCCTGCATTGGGCTGTACGTGTTTTTTTTTTTTTTTTTCGGTGTTGGCAGATATGCGTGATGTCAAAATTACCCGTCAGAAAAAAGAGTCGTGTACAACCAAATTGGATTCAGAATAATAATAGGTAACAAATGTACGCAAGCAAATAGGGGACGTGGAAACTGAAATGGCAACATACACCTGTTAGTATGATACCAAACAATGGACATACAGTCTGCACATTGGTTTAGGTTAGGTCCCCTTAACGTTCGATGTTCAACAAAGTTTAACTTTCAACTACAATGTCCTTCTAGTGGTATCGACCCCTTGGGGCCACTGTCAAGAAATATATAGACTTACGCCCATCCGTAGATGTAAAATGCCAGCCGCAATCGCAGCACAGAGCACAGACTCCTACACCTAAGCATACACAATGCCATGGCCAGCAAGGCAGCCCAGCAGCGTGTGCTGAACACACCAAACAGGAGGACCACCGACTTCAGAATCATAACCCAGCTGTGTTCAGCTACTGTCCCAGTCAGCACGATGCCAATGGAGGCCAACAGCTGCAGGTGGGAGTAAAGGAAAGTATTTGACTGAGTATGTGTAGAGTATAAGCACGTTTGGAGAGTCTGGAGCACATGTAGAATCCAATATTCATATCCACAGAGTGGAATTCCACAACCAGAATTAGAAGTCATTACTGCGGTGGCACAGTGATCGTGGACACGTGGTACACGTGCAGTGCATGCCTATTCAACCGAAACGGTGCCTTGATTTGCTGAAAGCATGCGCACATCAAGCTGAAGAATGTGCACGAGTGTGGTGCCATTTTAGTTACGGAGCCTAATTGAATTAGCCTGATATCTTATTCATGAATACCATATATGCACATTGTTATAGTTAAGCCAGTCTCTGACCACTTTCACTTCAACCAAACTGGGAGATAATCCGATATCCTCAAGCACAATGTGCAAAAATGTCACTTGAACTTGCGCAATGCCCCTTGTAACCTCAATAGCCGCAGAATGCATTATGCTGCAGGGCTTGTGTTTACAGGCTATGTATCATGTTATGAAAACAACTTACCTGTGCTACGACAAGATGAAAAGTGAAGTGATGGGGTATGGGGTTGAACCTCTTGCTAAGGATGAATACAAGTAGGATCCAGACCTAGGAAAAAGAGTAGACAAAGCCTCAGGTTGAGAACCATGACCCCTCCTAAGGATAGGCCTTCTTCGGTGAAGATTAACATTATGTTCCGCTCTTTACATGAACTTGTGGGAACCTGAAACAAATTCCTCGACTACTAGGGAAAACAAGTCAGAGGATAATTTGCATTTACATCCAAACCACAATCACACATTGATGAAAAGTCTCTACAGTCGTCTACCCTCTATAACCCCTTCGCGCCGGGACGTGTTACGACAAGCCGTACAAATTGAGATCCTCGGCCCGCTTTTCAGCTATTATTCTTGGCCCATGCATGAGCGAACACGGTGAAAGAAGGCATACCCTGGCTCTTGCATATATGGTAATTGGCCTTTGTGTGTAGCCCAGAAATGAAAAGACCCAATTTGCATCATAATCACCAGCTGCACAATAGTCCCCACTTTGAAAAGAGGGAATGTGGAAGCGTGAGTAGAGCCGCATGCCACCGAACAATCAGCCTTTTCACCGTGTAATTCAAAGTGTGCAGAGCACGCTGGGTCACAAACCAAGAATTTGCAGTTTGGCAGGTGGCCTTCGTGGCCAAGCGAGGCTGGAATTCTTGGAGTCGGCTTTCGGAAAGAAATTCCCGTCATCAAGGGGTTAACAATTCTTCAGGTGGTACTTCAACAGTTACGTATCTACCTGTAATTTAAATTCCATGATGTCCGCACTACACTAGAGGGTTTCCAAGTTATGAGGCTCCAATTCAGCAAAAACACAGTCTCTTTGGAACTTTTGTCAGTTTGCACTGTTTATCTTGTGTCAACAAGCTTGAGAGGCTAAAGTGGTTTAATACTTTGTTGATCCTAATTCTTATCTGTCTGAGTAAGTTACAACCAACAGTCATTTTCAAGAAGTATGAGTTTGAATTGTAATGAAATGACTCAGATCGGGCTTGGGGTTTTGTGTAACCACTCTGAAAAAAGACCATAGCAAAGCCAAGAACACGAACTGAAATGTTATGCTTCAGTGATCCAATGCAGTGGTAGGCAAACCCCAGTTTGTTATTTGATTACGGATTACCAGTGATTGTTTGGTGAACGGTTGAAAAAGATAACAAGCTGGGAAAGTTGTTGAAATGTCAACAACGACAAGGCAGTGGAAATATGGGGGCTCCCTCTAGTGGAGTGTTTCCCTCATGAAATTCTTTTAAAGTTTATAATAGTGCATCTTTCAAGGGGGAAACAAGAAGTGAACGTCAAATGATAAACTGTTACACACCGTTGTGTGAGAATTTGCCTAATCAGGTAGCCTTATACATTTTGAATGACCAAACAGATCCATGAGTTCACTTGCAAAATTTTACTTGAACATTTACTTACGAACTTACTGACAATAAACCTTAGCTGATGAATACATACACCTGTATGGGAAATGTACATGTAATTACATTTGGTATGATCTTGTGATAAAAAAATATTTGAAGCTGTAATTTCCTGAAAAAGGTGTAAAGCAACACTCAAAACCATTCAATCAGGCCCTATATTTGATGTCAAGTTCAGGCTTTTGTTGGTTGTACATGTACCAATGCAGATGTGATTTGGGAGAACAGTAACTTTTCATGTATTCATTATGCATTTTTTATACTAAATGGGGACATCTTGGGCAAGTGCAGCTCATTACTGGTTTTAAAATTAGAGACTGCTCATGACAAAAGTTACTTTTCTGGGTTTTTTTCAAGAAAAAACAGTATCTAGTAAGCTTGCACTCTATTGGCTTTCCCCAACAGTTGGATTAAACACATAACAAAAGAAGAACCAAGAAATGTCAAAACCCAATGAGCCAGGCAGCAGCCCTATCTGCTCTGAGCAGGAATTATAGAGGGTGTGCTTTGATCCTTTGCTGGGAACTCATCACATGAGCACACAGCTTCGTGTGGGGTAAGACAAGTGGGCATAACCAGCTTATGTTGGAACATACGGTCTTGACATGTGCACCAGGTGCCTGCACAAGCACGGTTGAAAAATTTCCCACCAGCTTGTCTCTGCTATGCCTATGAGGATACACTTTGGTAAGAACAGATTCCACATGTCGATAGGTCACGTCCTTAATTAACAGTGCCTTAAGTTAGTACCAACAACTATTAAAACAACTACAAACCACACAGACCAATTGAATCTACAAATATGGTGAAAGAATTTGGTGACAAAGAGAGATAATGGACTGGCAGTTGGCTAACCCTGTGCCTATTTACAAACTTTATGGGTTTGTGTACATAAAGATTGTGCAAACACCATACCATAGGCAGCGTTGCAGTCCAGACCATGTAAAACCTTCACAAGACCAACACAAGACCTTTAGTCTGAATTCAAGCCACAAGCTATTCAAATAAACTGCAACAAAAGCCTCCTTTGTCATTGTTGACCCTCTTATTTCTGACTGGTCTTGTCCATGGTCTTGTGCATGGTCTTGTCCATGGTCTTGTCCATGGTCTTGTCCATGGTCTTGTGCATGGTCTTGTGTCTGGTCTTGTGATGGTCTCGACTTCAACACTGACCATAGGCACTCAAACACTATTGGTAGCAGAGCATAGACACATTGAGGAAAGGGGATAGGGGCATCCCCAAAACAAGAACAGTCAAATATGCTCTATTTCATTTTGTTTCCTTCCAAAAGCATGTAAAGAGACCCAAAATCTATCCTCACCCCTCAGAAAGGCCTTAATACAAAATATCCCCAATGTTTTGGTCCCTCAAAATTTGGTTCTTGGTCCACCCTTGTAACAGAATGAGTGGCCATTGCTGAGCAACAGCCATGTGCTGGTATTTCCCATGCAGCAATAGGAGACATGCCTGTTGGGGCACGGTTTGGGGCCTGTACTCACACAGCAAGCGATGCCAACGCAGCCCACATCAACCATCACCGTGGACAGGAGATACTGGGTCTCGGCGCTGCTCTGCACCGGCAGGTTGACCATGGTGGCAGTGATGAACATCATAGGCGCCGATGCAAAGGTGCAGAGTACCATCGACGATGCAATCTGAAAACAAGGGTGTAATTGTCATTGCAAGATACCAGATTTGTCAACAACTCAAGAAAACAGTGCAGTAGATTAATTACTACTGGCCTTCCACAAGTACAGAAAATAAGAAGTTGTTTTTGTCAATGTTGCTACATACACCACCTAACCTGCGGCTAAAAATACAGTATATGCAGTATGCTAACATATTATTTAATCAAACAGGATACCATGCAAGGTTTTTGCGAGATAAATTCGAATAAAGTCTGGTACACTAAGTTCTTTACATTCATGTGAACATAACAATTTGAATTCTCCATACTAAAACACTATTGATAAACCTCATGATTCAGGGCAAGCTTTTCCTTAGTTACATAAGAGATGCTTTGCACCAATACACTGTTCTCAATGGATAAAAAGGGCACAAAGGAACCAGTCCATTCCAGAGACGGTGGTCACTATGCAAAAGTTTACCCTGAATCATGAGGTACAGCAACAGTCTTTAGTCTCAGGAATTCAAATTGTTACGTTTACATGCAATTAGATTACTCGGTGTCCCAAATTTTCTTCAAATTTAACTCCCAAATGGCTAATTGCAGTGATGCTACATGTACATGTAGGGCTTAAAAGAGCCCAACATTTCCTTCTGTTTTTACAGCTGGCAAAGGGCACATCACATCTGTGGGCTCAGCACACACACACACATATACCTGTTTTACATACAAAGTGTGGACATTACTTTGTTCTCCTGTGGTTAAGGAAATTTGACGATAATGCTCCTTTTTCTCTACCTACGATAACTCCTTCAAGCTGGATTTTTTATGATGATTTCCTGGACTGTTTCTCTTCATTTTGCCATGATAACATTGACCCCAAAATGCCTCTGAAAGTGTTTTTCAGAGAGGGGAAAACATTGTGCGAGTCCACACTACGCCATCGCACCCTACATTATGTGGACTTCTTTTGTGCAGAGGTCCACACTATGTATGCCACGCCTGCAGACCTAACACATACCGTACATACATGTACCTAGTGTGGACTTTCTTTTTGTGCAGTTAAAAAAACTCAGTGAAAATACTTATTTTTCTTGAACTGGGAACACGATTTTCAGCTGGCTTCTTGTACAAGGTTTCCTTGACTATTCCTCTTCCTTTTAAGACGGATGACCCCAACCCCAAAATACCTCTAAACTTCTTTTTCAGATAAGGGAAAATGTCCTGTGGACATGTGTAAGTCCACAGAACGTCTTCCTTTCCTACATCGTGTGGACATCTTTTGTTCACAAGTCCACACTAGGTATGTAAGGTTAGCGCACATTAATCACTAGTCAATAACAAGGCATCCAGTTTCAACACAATTCATGAAATGTTTCATAATTCAAATGAATGTTAGCCACTTGTATTATTTAACAGCGAGCCTTTCCTAAGCAAAGTATTTTTCACCTGAAAATATCAACTTTATCAAAACAACAAGATTGCCCAAAGACATGTACAGCTCTTTGCGACGTTGGACTTTTACAAATAAAGACCTTTTTCCTCTTTGAAAGTATGAGATGTTATAGCTCTACATTTGCTACCTGTACAACACCCAAGCAGGGCCCATGGCCGCTGAAGGGCTTCACAGAGTCGATTTCCACAGCAGCTGATTTCACAAAACGTGACAAACTTGTAACTTTGACCCACACGTAAGCCTCTCACCACAAATTTGTGCTGTAATTGCGTAATATACTTAGGCCGTGTCCGAAAGGGGCTTCCAGAGCTACGGCTAGGTCTATTGTCTGCGCATCTCCACGCATTTCCAATGGAGTGAAGACCTAGACCTAGCTCTAGACAACAGATTCGGATGCAGCCTTACATTCGATTCCATGAAAAGTTGCTAAGCTGCGCAACATTTAAATTATATCATATGTCTTGGACGAGGATGACCAAGGCTTTAAGGATGGTTATTCCTTTGCAATATTACAGCAGTCGTCAAACAGCCGTCAAATTACCTGTCTGCCATTTTGAATAAGTTTTTGTCTTTTTTTTCATCGGAACCAGACAGAAAATCTCATAGCCAAATGAGTTTTCCACCTCTTCTAAAACAAAGTCACACATTTCTTGTACGTATAAGCCTTGTTCAGTTCAGCAATTATGAGTCTTTACCGAACACACCGAGTATCATTCATTTGCACACCAACTCAAATGATAGTGTAAGTTTAACGCCGTGATTTGTTGCGCAAGTCGTGAAATTGCTCTTAAAAGGTACACAATAAATGTGGCATAAGTGAAGTTACGCCGTTGCATAAAGTTTTGTGAAACTGGCTACAGATCAGTTTGAGCTGCTATGTGTAAACAAATACAATGGAAATCACTCAAACATTGGGACGGTTGTGGACATCATCACCTGCTGCTGCATACAAAAATACCACAATATGTTCAGACATCTGCCAAGGTGTCATACGACATCCAATATTCAGTGGTTGTAAGCTACCTACCACGTCCTCAGATTGGCCAAAGAGCGTGGCAAACATGTAGACGCTTGGTGCAGTTGGGATGGTGCCGTACAGGAAGCCATAGGAGGAGAAACTCTCCGTCAAGTTGGTGTCATTACCACCCGGTTGCAGAAACAAGACCACTTGGCGTGTGACGAGGGGCATCATAATCCTGACAGAGAAAGACAAGCACTTTACACATGTGAAGCTACACTTCAGTACATTTTTCTACAATAGTCTATTAAGACGTATTAAAAAATGCAAAAAGAAAAATTATACTTGAACAGTTTACAACACAGGAATTGAACTGCTGGTATTGATGAATTCTGAACATTTCCTCAACATTGTTTAGATACAGAACTGTCAGTGCATAAATCACCATCACTATTGACAAGTGGTTAACTATACTGAAATAATCATTTCCATTCACTCCCACAGGCAAAGAGCTCATTGTGCACAATATTTTGAGCCCTAGGCCAACATCTATCGGCATGCCATACTTGGTTTACATGTGCACTTTTCTATGGAACCCATAGGTACCCATGGTCCATTGATTCCAAGAAAGGTACCTGTTTACAAAGTGCAACAGCATCAGAGCAAAGACCCTTGTGTACATGTAAGGCCTATTGGACTGGGACAGATACACCTGCCTATGTGCAGCAGCCTATCCAATCTCTCAAAATTTTGTGGGTGCAGTGCGACCAGACTGATAATTAGGCAAATCCCACAGACCTTTCTAATCTAAACACAGCTGTGACTATGTCTGAAGTAACTGGCTGTGGCTAGGAGTGGCACACATGTCTATGGAAAGTGGCAGCACTGGCTAGCCACTGGCTGCTAAAGGTACACGTGTTCTTCCCAGCCACAGCTTGTAGTAAGTTTCTCACACCGGTTAATTAATAGCTGTCCTTCAATAAAGAGTCTGAGAACTGCAAGGATGCTATTGCCCTTATGACAGGTCTCAACCAAGTCACCTCATTTAGGAAGCATTTCAGTAGGTCACCTCGATTTGACCCGACATTCTGTCATGTCTGTGTAGTTCAGTCATTACACAATAAACACTAGTCAACCACATGGCACCCAGTCTCACAAATGTTTCAAATGAAAGTTAACCAATTGCGAATTGTTAGATTCAGAAGCGAATTCCACCCAAGTGCAGTACTGTTTTCGGCTGAAAGTAATCACTTTCTAAAATGACCAGATGCCACAACCCAACCCAACCTATCCATCCAAACCCAATCAACCGAACCGACCCAACCCAACCCAACCCAGCCCTGCCAACTGTCACAGCTCCCAGAGTACTCACAGCTTGCATCCAATCAGCAGCATGGGGGCCAGGAAGAACAGGCTGGTGGTCTTTTTCATCTTGCCCACCATGCCGATGCCCAGGAAGAACAGTGCTGTGGCCGAGAAGGAGTCAGCCAGGACTGAAAGAAAGTCAGTGATGACCGTGGGCATCTGGTGGGAGAAGGCGAAGTTGCCCACAATGCCAAGCACCACCATGATGATGATGGGGTTGGTCACCAGACCTTTGACAGCATGGCCAATCTGGGGTGAGAATAATAGAATGGGATACAACTATATGTAATCAGGGTTCCTGCGCCTAAAGGACAATGAAGTTCCATGACTTTTCCATGACTAAATTATGAAAATCCACGACCCAATAATGCAATTTCTTGGACTATTTGGACTTTTTAAGATGCGAATAAAATCATGCATTTTATGCACTTATTTCTGATAACAGAAATCAAACATAGTATTTGAAAAATTCCATGACTTTTCCATGACTTTAGTCATTTCTACAAATTTGCATGACTTTTCCAGGCCTGGAAAATAAAACAAATTTCCATGACTTTTTCGTGACTTTTCCAGGCCGTGGGAAGCCCATGTAATTCACACATCAGTTTTACTGCAGTTACTGGCTTATGAATTACCTTACACGTACACACATAAATGAATACAATCTACACACAAAGCTAGTGAGATGTATGGAGGCTTTATATTTCCACTCTCCAAGATGGCACATCCTCTCACATGGCACACTCTGGTAAAGTTTCCTTTTGCCTGAAAGAGAAGTTGTGGTAGGCTCCAACTACATGTATCCCTGTTCATTGTTCTTACATTACATATTGTATCTATTACAAACTTGCATGTACGAGTAAAATGGAATTTTGAAAGACTTTTCTTCCTTACATTTCAAAGTTTAAAAACAAAATAACCTGTTCAAATATAGAGACCCACCCCAAACCTTATTTTCCTAACAAACACAACTGTGCATACATATGAATGTCAATTACAATGGGTTATTGCTGTGCCATTTTTAAATTAAATTTGGAAACAATTTTTTCGGAAAAGCTGGGGAACCTACAATCTAAACACGGCAGTGATTCACAAAGTATTCCAAAATGGTGGGTAGCTTTCTGGAAAGCAGCACGCCAAGTGTGCCGGACGACATCAGTACAGAGGTCTATTGACAACTTTGGACACTCTGATTCTTTGATTTATGGCTTGTGAGAAAAATGTCTTCGAAAGTTTTCACAAGTACTCACAGTTCATTAAATGTTGCAGTTGCGTATCCAAAATCCCTCTTTGAACAATTTTTACAGTGAATTCATTTGCTGTATACTGCTAATGTTTCAATTGCTGTGCTTGCAACAGCCAGCTCAATATTTGATCAGAGAAAGTATTGAAGAAATCCTCAACAACTCCGACAAAACAGACAGTTGTTGACTTGAATAGAAAGCACTACACAAAGATATCAAGCTCACCATGGCAAGACGTGAGCGGCGACGAGTGGCTTGCCTGTTGCGTTGTATCTCCATGGATAGGAAGCCAATAGGATTAAGAATGGCCAAGCTAATAGGAGCCATCAGATACAAGTAACTCACAAAGTCAGGGTGGCGGACTTTGTACATGGAGTTGACTGCAAGAGGGAAAGTACTCAAAGTTGTTAAAATTTCATAATTGGGTCAAAAGGCGAACTTCTGCATCATCAACCTTCTTGAAAGAATGACTTCACAGTTGTTTCGTATGACTTCATCTTTCAAATATTCAGGTGTGATGAACCTAATTTTATGTTTAAATAGCTTCTTTTTCCACACAATTTCAGCTGATCTCAATAAAATTCAGAGCAGTGAATTTGGTGATAAGTGGAGGAAGAATACATACAGGTTCTCAGTATGACAGGTGCATGTACACTTGAAACATTCAACAAATACAAGTATATTTTGAGGACAGTTGGACTTCCGGTATATGCTACTACATGTACATTACATATGTGAAGCCTCGGTTGGTCTCAGTGTTGGTGATCAATAGCTGTGCAGGCCCAAACCATTGCGCATTAACTTACTGCTGCATAACCAACTTACATGTATATGTACTGTATCTGTCATATGTAACAGTAGCGGTACTTACTAGTGCACAAAGCTAGCACCTTGAATCCTTGAAATTTATGTACTGAAACATGTGGAAGTTACAAAACAGCATCTGACAATGACTTCACATGAGTCATACTTGTTTACTCGTTCTAGTCATTTATGTACACATGTACATGTATGTACACACTGTAGATGGTACAACACCTCCTGAAAACAAACATAGCCTACTGTTTGAAATTTCAAGGTCTTCTTCACTAGCAGTCTTCTGACAGGGAACATTTTTTTCCCCCAAAGTGATTGTTTTCAGGGCGTGTTGGCAAACATTACTACCCAGAACACCAGTGTGTCTGTTCTCACACTTACTGATTGGATAGCCCAGTGCAAAGTCATTGCTCTGTGATGAGAAGATGGCAAAGATGCCAGCCTTTCCCAGGTCCATCTTGCGGCTGATGAAGAGAGCGGCAAAGTAGACCATGACAAAGACCACTGCCTTGGAGATGAAGATGCTACACCAGAACAGCCAGTTGACCTGTACAGAGTGACACGATAGGGAGCACAAGGGTGTAGAGACCTGTGTGCTGATGGGGGAACAACTGATCCACTGTTCCACTATTATTGGGACCATTCCTTAACTTACACATACATGTACAAGTAGCCATGGTAGCAGGGTTTCCCATGGGGTACTGATACATGTATGTGTGAGGTGGTTTTAAAAATTTGCCCAAATTTTAGTGCTTAATACAAAAGCGAGTGCTTTTCGAAAAGCCTTAAACAATCCATATAGTCTAATAGTACATTTACTCCAAATTTCTCCTCTATTAAAAATAAATTGGTCTTGTATTCTGTGTCCTTCCTTATCATTCTGAATGATTTAAAGCTGATTCATTTCAAAATATCTAACTTATGTTGCTTCGGTTTTCCATCTTTGTCTATTTTAAGTGTGAGGTGGTAAAATTCAACAGAAAAGCCCGAAGTGATCACTAAAATCAGTAAGGTGGGCCGCCCTACACTTGAATATGCAACGTAAACACTGACATGCAGCATGACGTCCTGCTGCGCCAAAAAAAAAAAATTTACTTACATCTCGCATAGAGTACATGTACACGTAGGTTTCACCCTTTCCACTTAGTTTGTGTGCATGCGCTAAAATTCGGCAAAGTTGTGATCACTTTCTGTTGCTTGTTAAAACGGCGACGCCAGCCAGCAAATGACTATACCAAAATCCATCCTTGTGTAAAGGTTTTCTCAATTCATACCAGAGAAATATAATAATGCTTCAGCTTTCATTTTGAGATGTGTTTCTTGTAATAATCATATGAGATATGTGGAGAAAATGGGATGAAAGATGTCTGTGTACATTACATTTCCGAACGTTAAAAAGGCTATTTTAAATTTGAAAATTTGAATTATTCTCCAGTTTTTCCACACATGCTGCAAATCTTGATAATTGAAAAGGGTTTGATAAAGGTTACCATGTTATGTTTAAGTTATTGCGAATTGTCCTTTGTCAGTTGGATAATTTCAATTTTTGGTTTATGTTCGCAAGTGTTCACGTACATGTACATGTATACATGTGTACTTTCATCTGCCTGTACTTCATCAACGCGCGTACATACTGTATACATGCATTAAACAGACAAAATAATTCTCATGCAAGATTTTCAATTCACAAATAATTTGAAAATACTACCGATGTTTTATCGGGTCTTAAAGCAAACAGCAGTTAATTTTTTTGGGGGGGGATAAACTGGGAAAGACCATGGACATATTTTCTTTCAAATCTGATTTTTTTAAGGTCACTTTAATTTTTCAGAATTTGTTTCAAATTTTCTGCAATGGGGTTCATATAATATGGTTAAAAATAAATTATGGTCTCCATCCGCAAAGAGAAGAGACGGTATGATGTCTGACACGGCCTGTCTTGAAATCCACCGTAAACTGACCAAGTGCGCATGTGCTAACTCTCAACTACGTGGTGCAGGGGCATGGGAGTGAACATACGAGAGGCCATTTAAAATTTTTAATATTTTTAAATTTCACATTTTTTGGGAAATTGTTTTGACCCATCCATCCACCCATCAAACCCCATTTTTTTGTTTAAAAAATTGATCTTTTTCATTCAGTTTTTAATCATGCATGGCGCTGGCCATGTTAAATGCCACTTGGTGAGTGCACATACAAATTCCTGCTACAGCGCTCCCTAATACAATGCTCTTCGGGATATAAAAATTTTATTTTTTGCATTCCAGCTGTTTTCCCATTGACTATGTTGGCTACAGCGCTCTCAAATCCAAATATCACGTCTCAGATTAAAACATGCAAAACAACGACATGATTTTCTTTGTATTACGCAGTGATTCATCGGCTGAAAATCTAAGCAGGATTTTTCCCGCTTTATCTCGTGTGCACAGGGAATATCACGATTGTAAAGTCTTTTTCTAGAGCATTAAAAATCCTGCTTAGATTAGAACCTAATAGCAAAAACGATTCAATCAATTCGATTTTCTGATGAAAAACTGAACAAAGCCAGAAAACCTGCCAGAAATTGATCAATATCGCACCCATGTACATTTTCAATGGCCCTTGCCACCAAGGCCATTTGTGCACATGCGTGATTATGAATTTATTAGTGATAAGGTCTATTGTGTGGGCATATCCACATACATGTACAGTATTTCCAATGGAATGAAGACCTAATGTATGTATTTACCGTACATGTATGTAGACCTACATGTACACGTACCCCTATGCACATGTACATGAAGCTCTAGTCTAGACAACAGATTTGGACACTGCCCACTACAGGTCTATTGAAAACCACCTTCCTTCATTGTGTACAGATACATGTAATTACGGGTAAATCTGTAATTTGGAACAAAGTTGAAAAAGGTCACACTTAGTAGTTCACAGCAGTCAAAAGATCTATTTCTCTTTCTTTGCTTTCTTTGTTTCAATGAAAAGTAATTTCTGATTTGTAACAATTTACCTTGACCAACCCTTTTCAAAAAAATCAAAATCAAAACATCAACAATTCTACAGCCCTTGAGCAAAAATAATTTCTGTTTATGGTAAATTGCAGCAGAGATTCTGCACTAAGCATGTTTCACAGGTTCGCAAGGAATTTGGGCGAGAAGATACCAGTATTACAAAGGATGTAACCAATAGGGGGGGGGCATGAAGTGTAGACTTGGTCTAGGGCTAGTCCCTTGCCAAATCACACAAAATCAGGGTACATGTAAATGTCTCTCACATGACTTGACTCAAGATTCCTAAACGTACCTTATTCAGTTTGACATTGCTAAAGCCTACTAATTGGTCCATGTACACGGAACAGTCCTCAATTGACCAATTTCAATCTGATATTACATACACGCTAAGGGGTTAGAGTCAGTTTCTTGTTACAGCCCATGAAAGTTCGGTTGCTATGCCAATCTTTTGAAAGTAAAAAAATGTGTGCTTTTCTCTCTGAGGTTGGCAATATTTGGCATCAGTGAATTGCCAATTAATAGCTCCTTCACTTGATTGTCTGACAAAAAACTCATTTTGCAGCAATTATTTAACTACAATAAATCCACGTCTTGTGTTTCCCTCATTGAAAAGCTACAAAGAGCAGCAATAGTGAGAGAAAATAAACCACAAAAAAGAGAACATGGCACTACTTCCCAAATTTGGTGTAGATGTGTAGTTGCTGGGGCCTTAAAAGCTGCACACTCATGTACACATCTGTGGATACATGCATGATATTTTTAACAGAACACCTGTAAAAAAATCTTGTGCAAACCAATTTGTCCTTCCAAAGATGTATGATGACAGAATAGAGTAGCACACTCCAAAAACTGGGTTTTTTTTCACATTTTCACAATACCAGTGCTTGCAAAGAAAAAAAAAATAAAAGAAGCAAGTCAACAGGGGAGTTTGAAATATCATGAGGTCTGAGGGTCTAGTAATAATAATAATAATCAGTTCTTATGTAGCTCATATTACAGAATGTCTCTCTGCACCTATTATGATTGTCTGTGGTAAAGCAGTCTAGAGTGAGTACCAGGCCTAGTCCCAGGCACGTGTTTATCCAGGTGACAACTTCTTTACATAATCAGGCACCATTATCCATTGGATCCAGTCACCTTGAGACACCTCGCTTCCCATGAGTGAAGCCCAAAGGAAAAACCTTGTGCAATTTGTTGATCTCCAACAATGGCACGATTATGTAACTGCTGGTGGGCATGAAGAACAAACAGGGGGGGTCGAGTACAGGTAGACAAGGTTGTGTGTTGAATGGACAGCTAAAATAAACTATTATGAAATAAGGGGCATAAAGAAAGGGGCACTTAACATGCTGAAAGGATCACATGCAACTACATGCAGGCACATGTACTTGCACGTGCACAGCAGCAGGTGTTCATGTAATATGGTCCAATGTACATACATATATGTACAAGAACATGTAGACACAAGCACTGTAAGTTAAAAGTCATGTACACTTTGCTTCTCCATGCCATGGTTGTACATTTCTGCAAATAGTTTAGCACCCCAAATATCTTATACTTGTGAATAAGCCTGCAGGCTGCAGTTTAAATGAATGAAATGCAATTTCTTTTCATTATTGCAGTCCAGACCTGATGGAATAAATTTTGCCTAGGTCAGTTTTGACTCGAAAAACAACATCAATTTTTTTAAAGTCTCCGGTTGTGGAGTGCTCAAGGCATGACATAAATGTAAAATTGTCTGGGAAACACGGCTTAAGTGACGGTAACTAAGTCTTAGTTGCCCCTTTTGGTGCCATACAAAAATGAGTTCACAAAAGATGCAAGCATTGTTAGCCACTTCCCCTGCAGTTTTATTTTTTGGCTGAAACTTTGACTTAACAACATGGGAAGATGCTATATATATCCACTTTAAAATGCAATCACACATGCCACAAACGAAATTTACCGCATTGCTATCAGTTTGCAGCATCCAGAGCTCAGTATTTGCCGCGTTTGGCAGACAGCCAATTTCAACCATAACAGACTTCCCAGCCACCATGTGAGACCGGATGTACATGTACATGTAGTACATGCATGTCTGCCATCTTGGCACCTTAGGAACAGTGGGTATTTTTAATGTGTCAGCCACCATATTAAAACCGAGTCAATTAAACGTTCTGTCCTCTGGTGTGAACTGGTTAGAGAGTGGAATGGCTGAAAATCCTAGGAATCTGTTTGAAGCACTCTAGCATGTGACATGCCATAGTTTTGGAAGCCTCAATTTGATTTAGACTTGGCTGAAGGTGTTAAAATGTGCATGTACATGATGTACGTACATTGTACAATGAAGTAAACTTTAATACATGTACATAGTTCTTTATATGAGGTACAGTACTACACTCTCTAATGTGACCTACACATTAAGAACTGTCAGAACAATGGCCTAAAGACGAACAAATTCCTCTGCTTTCAAAAAGTGAATGAACTGATTAAGAGGCTTGAGCTTGAAGGAAAATGTACATTTCATGCTTGAATCATACTGCACTAACGAAACAAGCCTAAGATTTATGTACCCAGGGGTCCAAGAAAACATGCAAAAGACTCTTACCAGTAAATCCTTCTAGTTTTATAATACACAGTACATAGAGGCTGTCAAGTTATAGGGTATTCATATCACAAGTACCTTTTTTGAAAATAAACAAAAGTTTATTTATATTTTAAAGTTTCCTCCCCCTGATATGGTCAAATAACCTCCAAAACACAAACCCTTTGTCCATCCCTAGATGTCGTACAAACAGAACATAAGCAGTGCTATCCCATTTTCAGTAAACTTATTGAATGCGACTTGATTGTTGGAATCTTTTTTTTTTTTTAATTTGCAAGTTTGTTGTTTTCTGTGTGTAACTGTGCAGTATTAGTCTGTTTGTTTTTATCTAAGCTTTTTGTTATTTAATATCTTAGTTTTATATGATTTTTAATTAATTTTTCTTCCAATTTACTTATAAATGTTTTCACTTTTCTTTTTAATACGCTGATTGTAAACTTGCCCTCAATTCAGCCCTTGGGCTGCGATAGTAAAGTTCAATAAACCAGAATAAATAAAATAAATAAAACATTTTTTGATGATTGACAGATTTTGACTTCTTTACTGCCGTTTGTGTCATTGTACCGGTTATTATTATTGTTAATCATTTGACCATCACAACAACAAAACATTACAAAATTGCACAAAACGTACGTATTCCTCCATGAATAAACAAACCAACAACAAAAAAGTAGCGGGGACCAGGGACGAAAATCCGAATACAAGACATGACAAATGACTGTTATGTGGGTCTGGGATTGCAATAGTAAAATGAATTACTATTCTATTTTTCCCACGGGTATGCAGCCCTGCACATAACAGTAACCAGAGACATTACCGTTTAAAACCCTAACAGTCCCAAATCATCCAATTTCAATGTGATTTTATATACACCCTTGGGGGTTAGGGTTTTTACAGAAGCTTTTACCCAAATACATGTTTTTAAGTTCCAAACGGTCACCCATGTTGCTAAAAATGACAAAACTCCAAATGAACAATTCTTTAATCAAGCGGTGGATGGGGCGGTTTCTTTTTACCCTTGGCCTCAAATATAGTTTGCCTTTGTTCATGAATATTCTTGCAGTAGGCCTATTACCCACCTTTGAGAAGTCCATTTCCACCATGGATTTGAACACCAGCGCCGGCAAGGCAAAGTAAGTGACATAGTTGCCCAAACCTTTGGAATTGGCGGGTGAGATGACTTTGGTGCGGCCAGCCACGTAGCCCAGGAGAATGATACCGAAGCATTCTAGGATAGCTGGGTACAGGTCATTGAAGGCATTGCTTGTGGGTGGGTGAGTGGAATTATGCATGGTGACCACTGGGACTATGTTACCTGTAGGAATGTGTTTACCAAATGTCAAATATTTAGCTTTTGTTTTATCTGTTTACATCACCATTAGCATCAAAAATTGTTTAAAACCTATTTTCACATGAGCCACGCGAAGACGGTTGTAGGCCCTCGGACCCTACATGTACATGTAGACCTGTCAAACATCACCCTACTCCTAGTCGTCGAGCCCTGTTTACGGGTCTACAGATCACCACAACATCATGGTATTGTTACGCCCCAACTATAAAATCCGTCCAAACTACCATCCCAACTATAGTTGGGCCCGTCCAAACTAGAAACCTACAGTTGGGCTGGCCCAACTATACAGCATAGCACAGAGGCCCACTGTGCATGTATCCAGCAAAGTCATTTTTTTTACTGTCTGACTGTGTCATGTCATAGATGAAGTGCCATATTTTAGATGAATTATGTCAAGTGTAAGATGAATAAACTTGGATAAGGTTGAGAAAATTTCTATTAGAAGTAAATTGGTCAACAACAATTCAACGCCAGCCCATCTGCAGGACTATAGACGCTGTATATGTCATGCTATAGTTACGGCGTAAACAGTATCATCCTTCCTCCATGGTCCGACGTTGTCCTAAACCAATAAAATTCATAAACAATCAAATTGCGCATATTTACCACTGAAAATGTTTATGACTTGCAAAACGCTTCTGCCTCGGCTAGGCTGTTTCAGACTGGCTTTTCATCAGCGTAAGGGACTCTCCGTTTAGCGGCGTCCATATGGCATAATAAGTAATCGTTATGTTTCGATGTAGGCTGAGGCCTATTATATTGCGATTGTCATGCGCGTGATCACTCTGGCTGCCACCTTAAACCAGGGCAAGCCTACACGATCATGACGTAACAAACCTAACAAAGGTCTCCACGTGCTGTGCCAGAGTGCGGTAGGCAGTACCGCCTTCACCTTTCAACAGAATTTCCTGCCTTCCAAAAACGCAACGGAACAGGTGAACTCGAACGCATGCCAACTCGTACACACTGCCCTCAGTTGACCAACCCCCGACGCGGCGAGGCCCATACAGACAAAGCACAGACCGTACGCGCATGCAGTGCACTGAGGTTTTGCCCAGCTCATTAACATTAAAAGTGCCCCCCCCCACAGTATCTTTTGAAAAACGAGATTGTTTGGCCCCCAAAATTGTGAGATTGTGTAAGTCGCTGCCAGGATCAAGTCTACCGTCCTCCCGTGCTTTGACTTGAGGGCAGAATGGCCAAAAATACGGTAGAAAAAGGCACTAGACGCCAAAGAAAGTAGAGGGTTGCCACTTGAAAAATGGCCGAATGCCATCATGTCGGCTAAGTTCTGGCGGCTTGTTGTTCCGGATGTTCACGAACAGCTCGATTTGTGTTCATGGGTCGGCCGCTCGAACGCAACATGCAACATGTCGGCGTCCATATACGTGATATGAGAGTTAAGGTTTGGATGGGCTGAATTCTTTTCTATATAAACAGGAACATTGATTTCTGTGTTACGGAAAATAATTAATGTTAATTTTGCAATGCTTCCCATTGTCTACATGGTCTATAGCTTTTGAAGCCATCTTTCTACTTTTTGCAGCTGTTCAAAAATCAAAATCTCACGAGTTTTTCCGTGAGTTCTTGTAAAACCCCGACGAGGAATGATGTGTGATCCTGTTCCAAGAACAGTTGAGTCGTGTTCCCGCCGTTCGAGCGCGAGAACAAGAAACCCCTCAGCGGCCCAAACTCGACCGTCATGTACGGGTGGCGCTATTTATGTTCGCTGGGGGCGTGACATCTACATAGTGTCGTCTGGGGGTATGTCGGTAACAAGAGCATTTGCAGACGTTGTCGGAGTTTTCCAGAGTTTTTGTTCTTCCTGGTATTTTTCTTCTTTTTTAAAAATTTGTATGGAAAAACTGCAAGACGCAAACTCACTGCTACAAAGCTGTTACATACATGTATAAAAGGTCCAGCATTTGTATCCACGCCTTGTGATGGCTACACTCAACGTACACAAACGGTTTCTGCCTGGACGTAATTCACTAAATTCTTTTAAAAAGAATCAGGAGAAAATGCCGTATAGTGCGGTGGAGAGCGCCCACCCAACCCGGAGGGCGCTGGAAATGGTGAACCACAGGGGCCTTAATTGTCCGGAGCGAGAGGTGGACCAAGTACCTACGCGGTTAGGCCACCGTATGGGGGCTGGGGCGGCAGCGCCCGCTGAAGTCTTACCGGCCGGCGCGGCACTAAAACCCTGGTCCGAAGGGTGCAGACCACTAATTCAAGTGAGAATTT